AGAGGTTATGGGTTTTGTTGCTCAGTATTTGGCGAGTCTTGAACCTGTTGGACTTCCAAAGTCTCGTCATGAAGGGAGGTTGGAAGGTCATGGTATAATCGAGCATAAAAGGATGGTGGTGGATCGTAAGATGAAGGAAAAAGTTCAATTATTCATATTGAAACATCTTTCAAAGTTCCATCCTTACTTAGATGAGCATATTTGTTTTTTAAGGAAGATGAATCCTTTGAAAGGGGATAAATGGCTATCTAAAGAACACAATCCCTATTTTATAGCATGGTTAAAAGATTGTGTTATGTCTCAACTTACTGAAACACCACACACTGTTTGTGATAAAATTAAGTGGCTTGCTTATGGTCCAGAACTTCTAGTTGATTCTTATGAAGGTTATAATATCAATGGGTATACTTTCTATATAGAGCGGTAAGATGGCAAGTCCATTAATCAATGTATTGGTGTTACTGTTGTTGCATCATCAACAGAATATACTAATACGAAAGAGAGTAAACAGCTTGAAGTAACTATGTCATACTACGGGGTCATTGAAGATATTTGGGAACTTGATTACTCTGAGTTCCAAATTCCTTTATTTCGATGCAAGTGGGTTGACTATGAGCGTGGTGTCCAAATAGTTGAGAATTGATATACCCAGGTTGATCTCAAGCGACTAGGTCATCAAACTGAGCCTTTTATCATGTCTTCACAAGTTAAGCAGTTATTTTATGTTGCTGACCCTAATGATGAAAAAAACTATTGTTGTCCAAGGAAAGAGAAGAATTCTTGGTATTGGTGATGTGGGGGATGAGAAAGAGTATTATCAATTTCATGAGGCCCCACCATCATCAATTGGCTTACCTAAGTCAAACGGGGATGATGCATTTGATGCAAATTATATTCGTTTCGATCACAATGAAGGCTTTTGGGTTGAAAAACCTTAGTGATTTCAAATCATATGTTAAGTATAATTTTTAATTTTTATAAGTATAATTTGAATTTAATAATGAAATCTAATGTAATTAAATTTAATTAATATCCTTTTACTATGTTCTTTTACTTTTAAAGACCTCATTGAGTCACAAGCTAAATATCATATTTTACTTTGTTCTTTAGCTATTGTTTAACTACATTTCATTGATAGCTTAATTAAAAAATTTTCTATTTGTTTATATAGTTTGATGGTTAATGTATCAAAAAAAAGATATTTAATGTTTAAAATTTCTTATTCGTTTGATTTATCTAGTTTTGATGGGTTATTTTTTCTAATCATAATTTTAGGTCTTTATGTATGGAGGATATCGAAGATCTATATAATGATGGGGAGTTTGAGGATAATGATCCCTTGAATCTTGAGCATCCAACTAAAAGGAGCAGGATAGTTCTCAAAAGGGCATGAAAAGGTATCAAGATGAAGTAAAAGGGTTGAAATCCCTAATGTGCCAAAGTTTCTGGAATGGGATATTTTTAATCGACCAACTGGACATTGGTTGAAGGACTATAAGCAGCAAATTTGGAAGACAATGCATACTAAAGTTAGTATTTTAATAAATAGATGGGAAGAGGTACCTCATGGATGTTTGCGTCTTTTCTAGTTATTTTTTTTTTTTCATTTTTTTAAAATATGGAATCATATTAAACTGTTTTTTTAGTGTCCACTAAATGTGCTTAAGGGAGTTGTATTAGTAATTTTCAGTTACAAATTTTTTTTAATTACATTTGTTTATGATTGAAGTTTACAAATAGATAAGTATATTTGAATATCTATTTATCACCACTTACCTATACTTAATTTCTAATATTAGATTGTTCTTTACTAAAAGGAAAAAAGTGAAAAGGCACGAAAGAGTCAATCACACAATCTGCATCCTCATTTCATGGGTCAAAAAAGTTATTCGCAAAAAGAAGCTGAATGGGAAGTTGAAGGAAGTTACCCTTCTATTGAGGGTACAAATTCCTCTAGGTGACCAAGACATCTAAATTGGATTTTTGGTAGGCAAAAGAAAAATGAAAAGGGAGAATATGTTTTCCCTAAAGATGAATCGCGTGTAGTTGGTAAAAAAATTGTAAGTCATACATATCAATACTAAAAATTAAACTAAGTTATTATTGTTGCATATTTTTTAAATTCACTAATGCATATGTTATTAGGATAAGGAGGTTGAAGAAGTTGAGCAAGGAATTTGGACTCCACATAGGCAAGATGACGTCTTAGCTCGTTCCCTTGGTAAGCAAGATCGTCGTGGTCGTGTAATTGCTGTTAGAGGAACAATTGGCCATCAAGCATATTGGGGAAAGTCCAATCAAAGCACTAGAAAAAGTGATCATTCATTTACCAGACAAAAAGACATTGAAGAGGATTTAGAGGCTAGAATAGTACAAGTGAGAAGTGACACTATATGTATGATGGAAGAAAAAATAAATGCTATGGTAGAGGAAAAGTTCATCAACTTAGTGAAGAAGATTGGTTTGAAATTACCACCTGGGATGGAGTTAGGGAAGACTCAAGTAACTGCCACTAGAGAATTTTATAATACCTCACTGTCTAAGCCTAATCCTGAGTCATTCTCAGAGTTGAAGGTAAATATTTTAGTAGCATTTCTTTCTTTCATTATTTTTTTTTCTTTTTGTGTGTGTATGTTTTTTTTCTTTTTGTTTTTTTGTTTATAACTTTCTTAAACTAAGTCCAATAATGACATTATTATAAATACATGTAAAATAATTTGGTTTGTGTCAATAATCTAGCGAATAGGAACTAATATCAAACAAAAGCCAACTGTAACAACTTCCACATTAGAGCATGAACATGATGTCTGATTATAGTGTATTATAGGGTACTACTACCAAAATCAATTCTAATAATAAACTTAGTAAATTTTGAAAGCATGGATACGTTAGAGCATATCAAAACGATTATTGAATATTCTCAAATCGAATGGACTCATTATTTAATTCTAAACCACAATCAAATAGAAATGGAATAATAATTTACAGAAAAATTAAATTACTCCACAAATGAATGGTTCAACATAGTGTTTTACATTAAGATCTCAAAACATAACTAAAACACATAAAAAGGGAAATTTACAGCCAGTCTCCGACATGCCCAATTCCCATTGACTCAACGTGCTTGTTGTGTTTTACTTGAGGCAAAAGGTTTAGTGAGTGGATCGGCTACATTATCGTTCGTTCCAATCTTACAAATTCTGATTTCACCCTCGGACTTCCATTCCCTTATCATTAACAAATTGCTTCCATATATCTTCAGTGATAACTTCACATACAAGGTAAGGTGGTTTAGCATTAGGGGATATTTTCCTCGTTTTTGAAATGTGCCCGCTCACCAATTTTGTCTTCCAATCCCTAAATATGTCACTCAAGTGCGACATTACATACTTTTTCTTCAATGGGTCCTCGTCAATGTGGTACATAGTCTAAAAGGTATGAAAAAATAGTAATAATTAATCAGACATTAGAAATCTATCATCCAGCCATTGAATCAAATGATACACATAATATAGTAGTGTATTCATTCATACCTTAATGAATGATAAATCTAATAGTTTCTTAATCTCTTTTCAATTATGTGATGAAAATAAATATGAGCACTAAAACCTAATTGAGTAGATTTAATCCTCCCATTCTAAGATCAAACACGACAAAAAATGCACTGCAACATATAGTTGAAACCATGACTACCATTTTAATCTCACTGTTATTATTGCTTGTAAAATTTTATTTGTGTCATGTGCAAATTATTAAACACAAACCAAACATTATATAGATTTGAAAAGTACTTGTTAACTCACAAGATTAATTACTTACATGGTATATTTTCATTTACTTAACTAAACTAATGTTATATTATTTTTTTAGAGTCCTATGTCATGTCGACTATGCCTGGTTGATGATTACCAACAATAAGTAGTTGTGGCTTTCAGTTTAGTCTATCCATTTTGTGCTGAAGAGGTAGTGCACCATGAAATAATGAAGCTAGATCATCTGAAGGTTAGTGTGAGCTCATGTATTTTTTGGATATGACGATGCACCTATTTCAGTGCCTAACTCAGAAATCAAGGATGTTGGGGGAGCTGTGAAAAGTTTTGTCCAATGGCCTAAGTGGTTGATAATTATAGAGGATGAGGTAGTATGTTTAATTTTATGTTATCATATATTGCTATAAATGCTATGGATTAAGCATAATTATAATTAAATGACAATCTAACCTCTAACAGGAATCCATTTCACAATGTAAGAAGAGTGACAAGCTTTTAGGGAAAGTCATCGATAGTAATCCTAAGTCAAATGTTAATCCAAATCAAGGGTTAAAGGTATGAATTATTACTCAACTAGTCGTATTTGTTTGTTATAAAAAAAAATTTATAAGTATTATCACAGGGACCTAGCTAGCTAATCTTTACAGTTAATTAATTATACTTCATCTATCTTTCAGTTATATCCCATTTACTTATACCAATAATTGTCACTTTAATTGCTACCACTAGTACAAAACTAACCTCAAGTAACATCCAAAAAGTGTTACATAAAGTGGTAAAAATGTTATTAAAGACAATAGGTAACACTTTAGTGGGTGATACATCTGCCCGTGTTACCTAAGGTCTTATGTAACACTTTGGATAACGTATGGTAACACCTTTAAAAGTGTTACTATATAACCTCTTATGTAACACTTTTTTATATCTTTAGTATCATTTTTAAAGTGTTACTTTTTATTTCTAATGTAACACTTACTTATCTTTCGTAACATTTTTCAATCATACAGTATCACTTTATCCGACATTATGTATCACTTTTTCGAACTAATGTAAAACTTTGTTGATTATTAAGTAACATTTTTCAATCATGTTTTGATATATAGTAGCACTTTTTTCAAAGTAATGTAACACTTTATAGATTAATAGGTAAAATTTATTAACATTTACTTTTTTTTTAAATATAAAAAAAATTATTTATACAACAACTATATGAATAGAAATCAACACATATAATAGAAAACAATTTGGATTGAAATACTTTCATAATTCTTACAAAAAAAAATCCATAAACACCAATTTTAATGTTTGGCCAAACAATATAATAATCCAAACACAAAGAAAATTAAGTTCGATCTCTAGCTTGGAAAAAGTAAGGAAAAACAAAAAACTTCCAAATTTCAAAAAAGTCAGCGATAACAGTAAATAATATTAATAACAGCGTATAGCAGCAGCTACACAGCTAGCTAGTAGAATGGCAGCAGCTACGTAGCTAGCAAAATGGCAAAAGCAGTAACAGAAGCTGCTAGCCGCAGTCTTTAGCATCAACCAGCATTAGCAGACAGGAGTGGCAGCTTCCAGCAATAGCAGACAGCAGTTGGCAGCAACCAGCAGTAGCAGAGAGTAGTGACAGCTAACCGAAGTAGCAAGAGTCAGCAACAGTAGCAGCGAAAAAACAGAAGTAACAGCAAAAAACAGCAGCAAAACAGCGGTAGCAACAACAAAACAGCGGTAAAAGTAAGTTCTTGTAGCATCATCAATTGCCATCCTAATTCTTCATCTTGATCCACTGGATCCTATGTGTGAAAGCATCATATATCAAACAACTAGAACAAAAATGGAATAACGCAATAATAAAAGTTAGTGCTTTTTAAAAGATTATATATTAACCATTACCTCATTTCGCTGTTGTTCATTAGAGTGTACAATGGGAATATGATATGTAAGTTCTGGATTGGATGACACATTTTCAAGTGATCGAGTCAAAGTATCCAACACTTTAGGATCAATTTGCTTGAGCGTCTTCATTAATTCTGTTACAATTTCTTTCACAATTTGGTCTTTATAGGGCTTTAAGAACCCATATGATTCTCATAATTTTGCTGTAAGTCATGTCCAAATCTTTGTGGTTGAGAAAAACTTTGTGCTTGTGAACTCCCTAAATGCACTTGTGAACTAGCCATGTTAATAGGTTGTAGTTGTCATCGTAGTAATAAATCACTTTCCTCTCAATGCCACAACCTGAAATTAACTAGCCATGTGATCTAAGTGTTGTCTCTCGGTGTTTTGAAGACGCATCTTAGTCAAAGAGACACCTGCCGTGTCCTTAATGTTTGTGGTTATCTTCCCTCTCAATGCCACAACCTGAAATTAAGTATTCATGAACATCATTAAACAAATATTATATGATTTTCTAACAATTATGATTCACAAAATTAAGTTGTCAAAAAAAAAAAAAAAAAAAAAAAAAAGAACAACCTTCTTTGAACGAGACCTCATGTTTACACCAGTTTTCCTTCTCCCATTTTCATCCTCTTCACTTGAGTGGTTCAGTTCACCCTCTTCATCAGGTGTATACTCGTCAGTATCTTTAGTCACCTTCTTCCTTTTTTTCGTTTGTTTCGATCCCTTCATCGACTATTTCATTTCATAAGCCATGGATGTAACCCCTAAATCCTTCATCCTGATTCTATTTTGTTCTATAATTTTTTGTCTAAGTTTCTCATATTCTGCCATCTAGATCTTGCTTCCTACAAAAAACACACAAGACAGTCAGTTGATGGACATTATTGGTGACAAACAGATTTTCAGAGTATCAGACCCCTAACAGATTATTAGCTTGATGTTCAGAGTTTACATTGCTAATTTCACCTTCCTGATTTACCTCAAAAGAGAATGGCTAGAAAAACTATGTCCTGATTTTCATAGTAGAATTACCATTCATTTTGTCTGAGATCATGGATGCAATCTAAGTAATTTTCCATTCATTTTGTCTGATTCCTTCTATACAAAAGTGGATCCAATTTGTGCTCAGCTAAAGGTCCTTGAAATTGCAAACAGCTTGCGGCTTAGTATAACAGTTGTTGCACATGAAGTTGCCTTCAAAGATATAGGTAATAAATCATCTATTCTGGATATAAAGAGAAATGATTTACCCTAGATGATACTACGTAGTATTTTTACAGGACCTAGGCCTTCAAATAATCAGATCAAGCAAAGTAAAGATTCAGTATTCACTAAGTTTGGGTTTGGAGCACAGGACATTCAGCATTAACTTCATATTTACTGGACTGACCTAAGCCAGACTGAGTCAAAAGGTAATACATATAGCACACTTGCATCAGGCAGTATATATAACGATTAATAAAAGCACCTGAAAGAGCACAAAAAGAGTACACCTGAGCACCTGAGCACAGGATCAGCTTATACTCAACTCTGATCAGCTAATAGTCTGAGGTAGATATTAATCTTGCTAATACTCAGACTCAGACTGTTAGCAAGATTAATTTACCTCACACGCAGCTTTATAAATATTGCAAAAAGTCTGAGGCAAATTAATCTTGCTAGAGCTAAAGTCTGATCAGCTATAATCATGCAATGCAAAGACAAAAGTTCATTGAAACTATGTCAATAGTAGAAACTACCTCAGTGAAGCCGACAATACTCACCTACTGCCCGAGCACAAAGATACCACACAGCTCAAAACTGCCAAATGTAAACACTATCACTATAATATCAGACCTCAATTTAACAATTAAATAAAGGTTAAGAGTAAATTCTGTAGCACGACACTAAATTTAACCACTGACTTATGACAACTAATAAATATAAAGCTCGTTATTTCACTATTCATGACCTTGTTAGATATTCACATCAATGTATGAAATAATTTGTGGACTATTTAGCAGATTTTACTCTAGGGTTCAATTAAGAAACTAATAAAACAGTCTGTAAATTTAACACCACATGATTTTTTTATGGTAAAATGAAGACTTCAAGGAGAGAAAGAGGTGAGAACTGAATAATACTCATAAACATTATTGATTAACATGGAACATGAAAGAACCGTGGTAGTGCTAGATGTTTGGGATTAGATTCTGCCCGATTTGAAGTTTGATGAAAGAGTACAAGGGACTAGGGAAGACATAAGACATGATGTGTTTGCTGTTCTTTGAACATAAAGCATGACATAACAGAAAGAGTAGGATAGCATGACATAAGTTTTCCTATACAAGCAAGATATTTACTAAGCTTGGGAGGTACTGTTGGGACTTTGGAAACAGCAAGACTGGGCTTCTCACCCAATAACAAATTTCAGGCCAGATTAACTAATTTATTGTATGAAGGAGTGTGATCTTTAACTGTAAGTAATAGGGACCTAGCAACCTGCTGTTAAGAAAATTTCTTGTGTCAAAATTGAGAAACAATCGTTCATTTATTATCTAGAAAATTAAATGAGGCATTGACCAACTAAGAGTTGGAGATGTGTTCTACAAGAACAAAAGAGAACACAATCAATGATAATGTAGCAATAATGTAGCCAATAAAGCAACAGATGAATAACTACTATTGATAATATCTTGATTTCCAAAGGGAGTAATTTGATACGTAGTATTGGAATAATGTCATGTTAATTTCCTCAACCTTTTCGAGTAACATTCAAATTTGGGGAAACTGCTAATTTCCTCCACTCAATAAACCACTTAAATTATTATGGTTCTAAGTAGGATCAATTTAAATTAACTACAATAATCAACTATCATGCTAAATAAATTTGTTTGCTGAATTTTTATTGCCAATCTTCAAGTTGAGAATACTAGAAAGAGTCCAAGACTACTTAACAAACTCAATCAACTTTTCATTACAAAGCCACTAAGATCTGCTATACCGAGTTTATCATTGACAAGCTTCTTAAGGAAAAGTACTCAATAGTCATTACGTGACCAAAAGTCAATCAATGAGCTAGGTTGATAACAAACAAAGCTATATCTCAAACTAAACAAAGTCCACAATAATTGTCTTGTTTTTCTCTCATACAAGTCATATTAACAAGATACCAGGTTTAATATAAAGTAGCATCTAGAATGCCAGAGACTGAATTCATCCAGTTCATATATTTAGATTTAGGAATTGAATCAACTAATTGTGTTAAATTCACAACTTCACATCATTCTTTAAGAATTGATGATTTTTAGGAAAATCAGTAAAACCTAAGATCAATAATACGAAGTATATAACATCGTTTAAATAAGAAAATCCATTAATATACAAAAAAAAAAAAAAAAAAAATAAATAAATAAAAAAAAATTGCATGAAATCGTGAATAACAACAGGTGCAGATTTCAATTGAAATAATATAGAATCCAATAAAAAACAAACCCTATAAACTAGATTTTGATAATTCACATGAAAATTAATGATTACATAACCAAAAACATAAAAAATCCACCAAAAAATAACAAGATACCTGATTTGAAGTGCGAATTGATGGAACCCCAGATGACGATCGAGTCGAAGACTGATTTTGTGATGAAATTCGCGCGAATTGAACTTGAATAATTGAGAGATTGGGTTTTTTTTTTTATAACGTAAGATTGTGGTTGCTGAATGAGGAAAATAAACTTGAATTGAGTGATTGGTTTTTTTTTTTTTCCTTAATTATTCTGGCGGTTTAAGCTAATTGAGGCCTAATTTTTTTTTTTTAATTGCTTTGGCAGTAATCCCAAACTTTTTTAATAAATTGGTAATTAAATTTGAGGATTAATACTGACTTTTACTTTTTTATAAATGTTTAATTCACCTTAAAATAATGTAACACCTCTTAGTTACTTTGGAGTGTTACTTATGTTGAAAGTGTTACATTGATCGTTACATTCTAATAAAGTGTTATCTATAAATCTAATATTTTCCATTTCAAGAAGTGTTACCAATTACATGTTACATAATGCCAATTATGTACTAGTGTACATTGCATATCCCACATAAAAATTTGTCTCTCTTAGTTATTTTAGAACTTGGACCAATTAAGAATAAAAAATAGATAATACTTGTAAGTTATTAATGTGGTAATGTAAGATGTACTATAAATGAACTAACTTATTTCTTTTAATTTTGTAGTATGTATTTTGGTTATTTTTTGGATTTTCGTATATTTTGGCTAATGTAAGTATGTACTAACCATTTTGGCTAATACGTATTTCTGTTTTGTTTTGGCTTGGCCCTACGTATTATTAATGATGAGTAGTTAGAAGATGATGACCGGACGACGTGAACTAAATGTTGCATTGGGGACGATGGGCGGTGATTACTTACTTTAGTATTAATGTTTGAAGCTTAGTATAAGTATTTAGTAAATTCCGAAAATGTTTTGAACTACTATCGTTATTGATTAGGGGATTTTCCCTAGCCAGTCATCATCTGACAAGTGGACCAGTTGGAGCCTGCCACGTGTCAAGTGCTGATCAGTCCACCTTGGACCAGTTGTGCCACGCCACGTGGCCTTCCCTATGCCAAATGGGCAAAACGGCCACCTAGGCCCAGTCTCCAGAAGAAGCCCAATCAGCCCTAGGATTGACCTAAACCTAGGACTAGCACGCTTCCCAAGACTATAAATACACTAATTAATCCTCATTAAAGGGGATTCAACAATTAATTACTCTCACCTAGAGAAGCCAAAACACATTGACATTCCTCACCTTGAGGAACCAGATTTTCCACCTTTACTTTTCCGCACTTATTACTCCTCAAACAAGTACTAACTTGACCGTCGGAGGCGAAACTCCCACCACAAGGAGTCTCCGTTGTTTTGCAGGTACAGGCGCAAGGATACTAGTCCCGGAATTGTAACTCTCCCGCAGGACATCAGAAAACCTCGAAACATTTTGGCGCTGTCTATGGGGAGAGTACTTTCGAGATGGAATCACAGTCTGTACCGATTCTAAGTGACAAGCGTCCCATGGACGACCCCCTGGTTTAGACGGACCAGGATACTGACAATGAGGTTGAGGTCGAGACTCACACGGCCCCCGACGGGACCTTAAGAGCTCGCCAAACTCGTTCCTTCGAAAGGAAGGAGTGACAGGAATGCCTGGCTGGATCTAGTAAACCAGCCGTCCAGCCGCTTGATCATCAACAAGCGGCCGAGGGATCTGTCCCCATCATTAGAAGTGAACTTATGACCTTCATGAATAGCTTCAAAGGGGAGATCCAGGATCTCATCAATAAGAAGACGCCTGCTCCATCCAAGGAGCAGTCGGCCAGAAGGCCCTCCCAGTCCGGCTCCTAGAAAAACCAGGTGGCACCCTATGTGCCACCCCAGCCATACGTGCCGCAACCTCAATATTTCATGCAGCCTACTCTGTTTGGAGGACAGGCGGCAAGAAATGTCCAACCTTTGGACTGGCAACTTAGGTTGCTTAGACTTGGAGAACAACCGTTCGCCTTCTCCAAGGAAATTATTGAGGCCACCCAGTCGGCCAAAGTGAAGAATGTGTTAGTAGGCGCCTATGACGGCACTACTAACTCAGAGGACCATCTGATGGCGTTCACCAACCTTATGTACCTGCAAGGGTTGGATGATCCCACATGGTGCAAGTGCTTCCCAGCCACCTTGAAGGGTGTTGCTCAACAATGGTTCGGCAACTTGCCGACTGGTTGTGTGAACAATTTCAAAACCCTCGCTTACCTGTTCACCTCCAATTTTGCCATGAATATCCCCGCTAAAAAGACAACCCTTGACTTAGGGACCAAACAGCAGGGAGAGGAGGAGGGACTCCGTTCCTACATCAGGCGGTTTAACCTGATGAGGATTCAGATACAAGGGTTGTCGGATGAGGTAGCCTACACTGACTTTTTCACAGGTCTCAAGGATGGGTCGACCTTCAAATTTGACCTGGTCTGGAAGAGGGTTGCTACCCTTCAAGAAGCCTTAATTGAGGCAAAAGCCTACATACAGGCGACTGACCTGTGTAATACTGGGAAGCAATCGGACGGAAGGAGGTCCGACAAAAAAGAAAGCCGACCAAAGCAGTCGGCAAATAAATATGAGAAAAAGAGAAAAGAAATCTGGGCGGCCGACTCCTCTGAACAGCCGTCCCAGAAAAAGAAGAAAGAATACAAACCATAATCACCCAAGTATGCATTCAACAAGGATAGCCAAGCTATTCTCAATGAAATCAAGGGTCGGATCTCAATTGAGAAGCCGACCCCCGTGAATGGTTTGGCGAGCAATCGAAACCATAGCAAATTCTGTAATTTCCACGAAGACATTGGTCATGAAACCAATGAATGTATTAGCCTCATTCTGGACCGCCTGGGAGAAAAAGGCGATCTTGATTCATATGTCAAGAAGTCCAAGGGGAATGCTCCCCCCAAACAAAAGCAGTCGACCAAGAAGAGTCACCGGTCGGTTGACAGTTCTGATACTGATGACGCCGTCGTCTATACCATAGCAGGTGGCTTCGTAGGAGGCGGCCCCACAATCAGGGACAACAATGATAACATCAGGCGGTTGGATGTTAACTCCGTCAATCAAGGACGGACAGCCAAGCGTACATTCCTAAAAATTGTTATCACAGAAGAGGATCTGGGAGGTGTTAGGGGGCCGCATGACGACCCCATTGTCATTGAATGTA